GAAACAATTCAGATGATCTTCAAAGCTCAGTCCCACACCCAGGGCCGTTTCAAGGCATTTGGGGGCCCAAGGCAAAAAGGACTCTGCTCCCCCAACCATTGCATTTGCTGACCCTAAAACCCAAATTGGGAACTCTTCTGGTTTCTCTCTTTTGAAACAAATATAATGGCCTCATAGTGTTTCCCCACAAGTGATATAAGGCAACATTAAAGGTGAACACAGACGGAGCTGAGCCTTGTGTAATATGTTATTCGAAATATTGCAATTGTCTTTTCCAGTTTTTATCTAACTTTGTTTTGGATTTCCAGCAGATTTTATGGTCCTGTGTCAGTCCAAGAAACTTTATTTCTACAATAAACAAAGCAAACTGAAATTACTATTATTACAGTTAGTAGTATTAGCATTCGTATTATTGACATTTATTTATTTGGTATGTGGAAGGAAAATGTTTTCACATGGCATTTACTTCCCATTTAGTATCTGATGCTTAAGGCATCAGTACCCATGCGGGGGGATGTTGTGGAGTGAGGAGGAGTGGGGTGGGGGCTTTGGGCACTTTCGGCCCAGGGGCCCATTCGGCCCTGCCTCTGATGCTGAGAGCCATTTGTTCATGAACCCATCCTGGTTGGAATGTTATGGGCTGCCTCAGGCCAGCAAAGAAACCAATCACACAGTCGTGTCACAAGTAATTCCTGACATGCAAACACTGGCCAAACAGAAGTAGGGGTTGCAAACTGTATGCATAAAGCCGGGCGTACACTGTGCGACTTTTTCACTTTCACTTTTTTGAGCCGATTTTCCACTCGTGCGAGAATCCATGAGATCGGGGCGAGTTTTGCGCCGAGCGGTCGTGTAGTGTACAGGGGGTTACGAGAGGCGATCAGCAATCGTGAGGTCGCATGGACTTCTGGTGTGTTTAATATTTTGCTCGTCCCTCGTGAGGGTATCGCACTGTTGAAGCGGCGCTGCGAGCAGCTGCGACCCAAAAAGTATCAGAACCGCTCACGGCGCATGCGCAATCCTGCATCAACACCGCTCGCTATTTCCCTAATAACACACGCTGTTCGTTTTTATTTCTACACGTTTTTTTTACTCACAAGGATTGTCAAGAAAGCGTGTTTGTCGTGTTCATGTCAAATTAAACTGATCACAAAACACAGATTTACTTTCTTTATTTCGTTTTCCTCATCCAACCCCCATAAATCCCTGTGTGTCCTCCTGCAGCACTCCCGAAGGACAACAGGCAAGACAAAAAAGTCTGACGTGTTGAGTGAAAACTGCTATTTTTAGCACATTTTTAGGTCCGACGTGTTGCTACCAGACGTACAGTGTGAGCAGTCAGGTCGCATGCGAGAACTGGGTCGTGCAGTGTGAGCACATCACTCGTGAGATCTGCCCTGCGAGGAAGTCGTACAGTTTGAGCTGAAGCTGAGTGCTACGAGTGAAAAAGTCGCACAGTGTACGCCCGGCTTAAGTCAAGCAAATCAGCCCAGCAGCTACTATTAGGGCGCTTGAGTCTGATTTAGCTAATTCTATTGCAGATGGAAGATCTATGTTTGTCCACTGCAAAGGAATGGATGGCCAGTAATGAGTAATCAGCACATCTATGATCAACCAGGGACTTGTCTCCTTCTCAGATGTGCTGGACTCAAGACTTCTCAAGACTGCTGGTCAACAGCTGTAGTAACTTCCATTTTTACATGGGCGACGGTGGCACAGGAGTTAAGTGCTCGCCCCCGTAATCGGAAGGTTGCAGGTTCGAGCCCCGCTCAATCTGTCACTGTTGTTGTGTCTTTGGGCAAGACACTTAACCCCCCTTGCCTGCTGGTGGTGGTCGGAGGGACCGGTGGTACCTGTGCTCAGCAGCCTCGCCTCTGTCAGTGTGCCCCAGGGCAGCAGTGGCTCATTCCCACCAGTGTGGGTGAATGACTGATTATGTTGTAGAGCGCCATGGGGGGTTCCAGGACTCTAGAAGGCGCTATATCAAATACAGGCCATTTACATTTTACTGCAACTGAGTGTAAAACTTGCTGCTCATTTTAAATGCAACCAGTAAACTGATGAGAGAGAGAGAGAGAGAGAGAGAGAGAGAGAGAGAGAGAGAGAGAGAGAGAGAGAGAGAGAGGTGACACACTGGGTAGATGAGACCCCATCAAACTGGCGAGGCGCAGGCGGAGGGGCAGGAGAAGGACACAAGGGACTGGAAGATACTAGCTTGATGAGAGACACATGAAAAACGGGGTGAATCCTGAGGGACAAGGGAAGGCTTAGGCCAGGCATGTCCAAAGTGCAGCCAGGGGGCCATTTGCGGCCCTCTGAGCGATTTTGTGTGGCCCCTATATGTCTCTTCAGGAAGCTGCTGGTATAGGAGGATCTTTGTTGACATCTTTTGTCATCTTTGTTCGAATGTGCGTGTGGCTGGGTGGCAACAAACACAATGTGGCCTGCTATCAATACGCGACTTACACTTTTATGAGAGTTTACGGACAAAATCACCAATATATGAACACTTTACCATATAAAGACAGAAGGAGGTTTAGAGAGAAGCTTAAAATCTGTATTGAAGACAAAATTAAAGTTTATTCCTATTTAACAGAAAGCCCTGGATCCATCACTTATGAAAAGTCAAAAGCTTTCAAACATCTTGAGGTCACAAGGACTTACCATGAACAAAATGAGCCTCACAAACTGTCCGTTGGTGCAGGAATCCAGGCGTTCTTTGGAGAGGGCGACACACAATCATCTCTTTTGTATTTCACAGTCGTTTATGGAGTAAAGTCCAATAAAACGTTTTATCAAGCCTCCCACATAAAGATTTTCACTTTATGGACATTATTCGCAGGGTTTTAACGTCTAAGCTGATTCCGGCTCTTCAAAGTTTTCTCAGTCTGCATGGCTTCCAGCTGGATGCTGAAATCCTGTTCACCATGGCTGTGACGCAGCTGCACGGATTCAGGGTGTCATGATTCTCGTGCCGAGGTGAGTGCTCCTCCTCATTAACCACCTTTGAGGTTCTGTTTTCCACAGGTGAGGAGCGGAGGGGGACCAGCTGCGCTGAATAAGTAATTAGGAGCTCAGGTTTAAAAGGAGGATGGAGACACCACTCAAAGCCGGATGATTACTCCAGTTTTGGTAACACCTGCCACTTGTACTTGTTTGACTCCTAGTAGTTTGCCCTCGCATGTTTTGGATTATTGGATTTTGACCATGGACTGTTTTTGGATTCCGACTTTGAACTTGCTCCTGAACCCCTGCATGTTTGCCCCGTCTAGGATTATCACCACTACCTTCACCTACTCTGCAAAGAACCACGGATCTTCATACCACATCCCATCCTCCTCCACGGTTCCTGCATCTCCCCTCTCTGCTTCCTCACCGCCCGCCCGGCTGGGTCTCCGCACTCGTTCACCTCGGCACACCACTTGCCCCGCAGCTCGCTGAGCGAGGACTCTGAACTATTGCCTCATAGCTTGGAACCCAGCAAATTTCATCAAGTCACTGACTAGTGTCAGTGACTTTACAGTAATCCTCATACTAAGCAAGCATGTAGCGACAGTGGAGAGGAAAACTCCCTTTTAACAGGAAGAAACCTCCAGAGGATCCTGGCTCAGTATAAGCAGCCATCCACCACGACTCACTGGGGACGGAGAAGACAGAACACACACACACACACACACACACACACACACACACACACACGCACACACGCACACACGTTTCTACGGTTACATTGTGATTTCTTAGTAAATATTCTATTTGGTGAGAGAAAAACTTTATTGTATTTATCCTAGTGAATCTATAGTTAAATGGGTAAACTAGTAGTAGCACAGTAGTAGGAGGAGAGGGAGAATGATAAAATGGTTAGCAGCAATGTTCAAGACGATGGCCCCCTCCATGAGGCTACCAGAGCTCAGCAGAACATCATTGTAGCTTCTTCTGGGGAGAAAAACACTTAGAGAAAAATAAAGTTAACAGCTGAAATAGCAGGAAATAATACAGTTAAAAAGCAGATTGTAGAAGACAGTAGTAGAAGAAGAAGAAGAAAATATCATTTCTATAGCGCTATATAGTAGAGTGTGGAAAGTGGTCAGTGTGTCCTCCAGCAGTCTAAGCCTATAGCAGCATAACTACATAGATAACTCTGGATAACCTATCCTTTTAGATGGAGGCATGTTGGAGGCAAATTAATCAGTCCGCTGCTCCTTATTCTAAAACGAAGCTGGCTTGTCCAAAAGTGATTGAGCGTACCTCAAGCAGCTCCGTTTGTGCTGTGGGTGAAGAAAAGGCTTCCTCTGCATCACTCTCACATACAGCATCTCCTCGTGTAAAGTGCACAGACTGGTTGAAAGATGCACAGTGACTCCATCTGCAGCAAGATGATGGTGTAGGTCTGTGGGTTGACTCTGTTCTCACCATTCTTCACCTCTGTTCATCTGAGTTTTTTCTTGGTCCTCCACTTGGAGCCTTAACTTGAACTGTGCCTGTGGGCTTCCATTTCCTCAGAATGATCCTAACTGTGAAAACAGACAGCTGAAATCTCTGAGATTTCTGTATCCTTCCCCTAAACCATGATGGTGAACTATCTTTTTTTTTTCAGCTCACGTGAGAGTTATTTTGAGGCCTCCATGTTGCTGCTTTTCAGAGAATATTCAAAGAGAAGGGAAACTTACAATTGGCCCCTTAAATACTCAACAGATTCATCAGAACCAATTCACAAGTTAAACAATTGGTTCTGACTGGTTCTACTAAATAGTTCTTTGGCTGGAAACATGCCTGAACCAGCAGATGTCTATACCACTCGCAGGCGTAGCTGACTGATCTGGTCGTTATGGGGAGACATCAGAAATGAAATCATCATTACGTTTGTTTGATTTGATTGTTTTTCTTTGAGAAAAGGTAGAACTCTGAGGACCTGTTGGACTTGTTGGACCTGAATCTAAATTCATGTCCATGAACAGCTGATCAGGCGTCCATCAGAAATAAAAATCCATCACAGGATGTCAATTGATCAAAGTTTATTACAAAATATTTAAACAACTTTACATCATATAACTCATCATGAAATGGTTCCAGGTGCACATCACCAGTCATCGCAGTCTGATGGGAAAGCTTTTCTGTCCCATTGTGGAACTTGACGAAGGTGATGGTGTAGATAACAGCTGATGATGGACCTGTTGGATATCCTTTAGCTCTCAGTCGGAGATCCTGGTGTGGTGGAGGTCTGGTTTCACTCACTGGTCAGAAAGAAAACAGCAGCTGTCAGTTTGGAAAACCAGTTCACTGGACCATATGGGCTGCAGAACAGGCTCTACAGCAGACCTCTAGTCAGCTCTTTGCTCACCTCCTTCCCAGAGCAGGTGCCACAGAGGCAGCCAAACAGCCCGTTGACCATTTGGATGGCACAGAGGATGAGCTCCAGGGAGGCCGCCACCAGCAGCGTGGAGAACAGCCCCACATTGAACTCAACCACATTTTCAGGGATCTTACACAAACTCCACAAGCTTTTGTCACTCAGGTAGCTCCCAGAACTACGAAGCATTTTCCAAAGAACAATCATTAGGTAAATAGTTTCAAATACACATCAGTTTTATAGGCTTTTGATACATCAAATAAAAACACACACACCTGTTGGCAAAGGGTCTTCCCCAATGGTTCTCAGGGTACTCTTTACTCGAGGAGCACACGGGCCCGTTGGCCAAACCCACAGAAGCTACACTCAAGCTGAAAATAGCCCCCAACACACCAGCGGCTGCAAACCCAATGGACAGGAACATCTGTAGGGGGAAACACCACATGTTCTTCATCAGCTAGTCAGACCAGTCAGAGGAAAAGCCAAAGAGCAGGTCCCAACAAAACTCTAAAGGCCGAGCTGATGTTGAACCAGGAACTGAGAGTTGAAACCATGATCTGTCCTGGGTCCAGACTAGGATCATCGAGTCCTGGATGACTGAGAGGAGGTTTTATTTCCATGCTGCTATAACCCAGTAAAAAATTATTCTTTTCCTACTTCAGCTACATATTTAAAGGGATGCCAGGCAGTTTTGCTTGCTTTTACCACCCTCTAGTGTTCCTTAGTGAAACCAGAAGTGACAATTATCTCCATACTGTGAGTTTGCCTTTTTAACACCTTAGTCTAACAGCTGAAATGTCTCCCCAGCCTTCCTTAGTGTCTACAGGAGTGATTCATCACTAAATCACACAAATCAGCTGTAATCATGATCTAAAACACGTAGGAAACCTGCTGGAACCAGACTGCATCTCCTGGCATGTAAGCTCCACATTTAGCAGACTAAAGTGGAGCCTAAGGACCAGATCTGCACTCTGAAGTTGCAAGTTCAATTTTTCTGGCCAACGAGGGCGGCGGGGGGTCGGAGTGACATTTCATTAACGGGTCGTTTTAGCACATACTGGCTCAAGAGAAGGATTTAAAAATATGAAAATGTTGCATATTATGCCTCTAAAAACAAACAGCATTAGCATTATAAATAGAAAAGAGAAAATCACCACCAAGCATCAGGTTATTAAATATCTTTAGCTGGTCAGCAACCCTGCAGGACACACTCACCCCACAGCGGTTAGCACAGCAGTTCTTGGCACTTGTCAGGTGGATGTGAATGGCAGGAATAAGGACCTACACGAAAACACAGAAGATGTTTAAGATGGAGAAAAATGTGCAAAAGGTAAAACTAACAAACCCAACTGTTACGGCTGGAGCCTTTTTGTGTTGTGTTTTCATTTTCTGTGCATTTTTTGTGTTCTCATTAATGCTGCATCTGAGGAGCATGCCTGCAGACTATGGCCTGTTTGCTCACCCTTGCTCCTCCTTGCACCAGCTGAGCTGGGTTTTCATCAGCCGCGGATTGCTTAAAGGACCTGCTGGAGCTCCTCACCAATGGGGACAATAGTGCAGAGCTGCCTTTCCTCTGGTCTGTTGTCTCCCACTTAGGGTTTTGATATTGATTGGTGAAAAGAAATAAGCTTTAGGGGTAATCTGTTACCTTTTTGAGATTTGTTATGTTACATTTTAGTGCTTTTTTGGTTAAATGGGTTGTTTCACGGTGGTTTCTTTTCTAGAGTAAGACAAAAACAAAAGGAGAAAAGTAAATAAAACCTTTGTTAATTTTCCTTTGTGTCATGTGTCCTCCGTGTTACCCCAGGCCCCCTAGACACCTGGGTTGTAACAGATGGGGGCTCGTCCGGGATTTGAAACCGGGACCTCTCGTTCTGAGTTACTGACAATCCACCAGAAGGAACATAGAGACCATCACTCTATCATATATATATATATATATATATATATATATATATATATATATATGTATATATATATATATATATATGTGTGTGTGTGTGTGTGTGTGTGTGTGTGTGTGTGTGTGTATGTATGTATGTATATTCATAGTCTGACGGAACTCACAGGAAAATTATGTACAGAAAAAAATGAATATGAACCAAAAAATTGTGGATGCCATGGAAGTAACCACAGCACAGACACAGAATTCCATGAAACTACTTAGGTGGACGTTGTTGAGGACCTGTTAGGATCATCTGCATCAACAACATAAACAAGGAGCTGAGTAGAGGGAGGAGCCTTGGTGGTCTCATTAGTAATTTCAAAGGCCCTATGTTTGTTTCAGATCACACCTTATACGCCTCCTACTCCCAACCCAAGATTCAGAACTGATCAGTGAAAATACATAGAGTAGTCCATGAAAATAACCAAAAAACTCCACATGAAAATCCAGATAATTCGATGCACTACCTGTTAACTAGGGCTAGACTTCAGCTTAGACTAGAAGTTAGGCAGTCATGCCTGTGCTGTAAACTCTATTTTTCCGAACAGAGGCTGTTCATGAAGCTGGCTGGTTAGGTAGGACTCATTAGAAGTTTTACAGAGAAACTCTGCAGACTAGAACTGGTTCCATCATGCTACGCACAGGACCACCTCCACCATCAGGACATCCAACATGGCTGTCCTGCTTAACAAGAGGCATTAGTCACATGATCAGTTCTTCACATATAGTCAGTCATAGAGCTGAAACGTCTCTTTGAACAAATGCTGATGCAGCATTAGCCAGAGCAAAGTGCAGAATAAGGCGGAGCAAACAGCGCCTAGCCTGGCCCAACCAGATCCAAGGAGGTCCTAGAATTAGAATCCCAGCTCCAACATTCCACGTTAACTGGGACTAGGTCAATGTACTGACTGATATTTATTATTATTTCACAAATCATCGACATTCATAAACATCTGAGTGATAAAACCCCAAAATGGGGTGAGGTGTTAGGCCACCTGTTCTCTGGGCTGCAGCTGCTAGAAAGCAGAACCACTGATAATGAACAAAGAACCTGTTCATCTAGACTGTTAGCTGGGACAATCGGTAACTTTATACAACATGTTTGCTTTTAATCACACACTCTCATAAAAATATAATACAATTCCGTCTCCAGTTCCTCCTGAATCACCCCAGCTTCTGGAGAAGGTTTCAGGCCTCTTCCAGACAGATTCCACAGATGGGTTCTAGATGCCAGCGGAGTTTTTGTGTGTTCTAAGAGAACATTTGATTTAAAAAATGGATGAAAAACTAAAAGGAACATTTTGAACCCACCCTGAAAATGTCATAATGTGAAGCCAGCGCCAGTGAGGTCACACACTGGGCAGTTCCACTGAATGCAGAGCAAACAGGTTTGCAAACACCTTGAAGGAGCGGTTTTATTGTCTCCAACCTAAAGTTCCACTCAAATCCCATGAGAGGACTTTGGTGTCCAGAAGGTCAAAGTCCCATCATACATGAAGGGAGTCGTGGACTTGTAGATTTGTTCGGATCAGTAAGGTTAGGATCTGTTATCTCTGAAGATAAATCTCTAATCAGCACACTCAAAGTGAAAGCTTGAGTCCTGGTGGACTGAGCCAGAACCTCATCTCTACCTCCTCCTGCAGCCATGGACGTGTTGTGTCTAACACAGAGGACAGGACGTACAGCAACTGTGGTCTGAACTGGTCTACTCACCATGGACGTAATTTTTTTTGGGGGGGGGACATGTCCCCCCCACTTTTTCCAAAGTCAAGGTTTGACCCCTGCACTTTTTACCATCCGAAAACAATATTACGCTATATTTAATTGACACTGGTTGAGCTCTAGGACCAAGCGGAAAACAACAGTTTGTGTTGAAGCCTGTTTCCCATTAGAGCATACTGTAAAGACCCCCCCCCCCCCCCCCCCCCCACACACACACACACACACACACATTCTAAAGTGAAAATTACGTCCATGCTACTCACCATGATTCCTCCTCCAATCAGGCCTCCCATGTATTTGACTTCATCCGTGATCCGTGCATTCCCTTTCTTGTCCGCCTTGGCAAACTGCGTGTCAAAGGCCGGGAAGAACAGCATGATGTTGCAGATGACTGACACCAGAGCCAGGACGTACAGAGGGATGGCAATGAATTTGGAGCACGCGCCGGTACACATGTTGTCAGCAGGTGGATGGATGAATACGCTGTTAAAACTATTTAAAACTTCTTGGAGAAGCGCTGACAGTCAAACGGTTTCTCTCTCAGTCTCAGCTTCATTCATCAACGACAGCGACAGGAAACGGAACACGTGTTTAAATAGTGTAAATAAATCTTGTCAGAGGGCGGGGGGGGGGGGGGGGTTCAGGGCGGAGCAGGAGATAAGGAGTTATTACTTATTTATCAGTTATGATCTAACTGCGTCGGGTGTTTATGGACGAAGATGTGTTCGATCAAGATGTTCAAATCAAAACGTTTACCAGCTTTAACCCTTTCATGCACAATGGCCACTGCAGTGGAAAGGAATTCAAAATTGTTATTATTATTTATTTTTTGCTATTAAGCACAGCTGTTGAAGACTTTATTGGCCCTCCATTTGGACTTCAGTAAGTCAAGCCAACATATTTCATGTTCAGAATGCACGCTGTCCACTGAGGTGGACGTGTAATAACTTATTTGAAAATTAATAAATGTTACAAAAAATATTTGTTGAAATTTGTTTCAATCACAAATGAAGATGAATGAAAAAAAAGTTTTAAAAAATCATGGTTGAAGATTTCATCATTCAGGCATCAAAGAGTTAAAAACCTCCAAGGTTCACACATCAGATTTGTTCTTTCTTCAAGGACTAAAGGGTCGAGCCGGCGCTGTCCAAACAAGCAGAAACACCTTTAGATCTAGAAACAGCACATTGTGTCAACGTTCCCACGACTGCTGTGGAACAGAGACACCATGATTGTGTTGTTTATTGAGCAGGTTCTGCTTGTTTGTTCTGGACTATGATCCAGGATCCTGCATCAGATCTTCTGGATTCCATCACTGGTGACAGAATAAAGACCAACCCACGCAACTGTGCAGGTGCGTGTGACTTATCTAATCAGCAGATGAACTCTACACAGATACACAATCACTGCTCTAATAAATAAATTATGGAGAAGCTAGCTCAGGGGCCCTCAATTATAATGGTACGATGACCACACACACAAAAGACCCAGAAGCAAGAGGGCCGGGGGAGGGGGGGGGCTGCTGTTTGGATCTCTGGCTGTAATGCACATAGCACACAAGCTTGCAATATAAAGGACAACACCTGTCCCCGTCCAGCTCGGCTGTGTGACTGCACTAACCTGTCCTGTGGGACCCTCACCATGTGACCCTCATGTCCATGCTGTCTCTGGAGGAGCAGATATGAGACAAGACCTCCTGTAACTTAAAATGGACCAAAGCTTCCTCCCAGTTTCTCTTTAAGCTGAATTTAACATCAGTTCATCATCATGAAACAAAAGAATAAAGTGGAACAAGAACTTCTATCTTCTATTTCTCTCTCCTTTTAACTTCTCCGTGTCCCTAAATAAAAGAGACAGATGATCACGCTGCAGCCGCCGTCACTGACCCCGCCCCCTCCTCAAGACCGGATCTCCCGACATCACAGCACTCGGTCTGACTGAGCGCTTCCAGGAGAAATAATAATGAACTTATGAAAATAATAATGCGTGTTTGGAGGAGCGTCCTCCGATCCTCTCTCTCTCTCAGTCACTGATCGAGCGAGCGGAGCGCGCCGCGTGACAACCCGCTCAATCAACGTAATTTACGGCCCAAATCCAACAGCACCGATCGGGCTGATTCGGTTCGGGTTCGGTCTCAGGTTACAACTCCAGCGCTCAGCCCTGCAGTACCACATAAAGGCAGACCAAAGTTTCCTACCCGGTAAATGTGGAGAACACCGCTCTGACAGATGTGGATGCTCCGCTGGTGCCGTCGTTAAAATAACAAAACCACATTCCACTATAATTGATTATGGTACTCTTCTATGATGCAGAACTGTTTATACCTGCATCTCATGCCATGATTATTTGATTATTTTCCTCAGCTCTATCCTAAACCTCCCGGTCAGCCGTCAGGGGTGGGGGTGCGTGCGGGGTTTAGGGGCCACAAAGAGAGGGCCCACGGGCCGCCATTTGGGGTCCACTGAGCTAGCTTACCTAGCTAGGCTAGCTAACCCTTTGGTCCAGCACCCTGGCAGTGGGAGGAAAGAGGGAAGCTGATGACTAGTGAGCATCAGAACCACCACAGTGATGGATGTCTCAGACAGAAGACACCCAGTGTGGAAGAGGAACCCCGCATGGTGTGCACCAGTGACTAATGGGAGGTTCAGGGTTGGTCATGCCAGTGGCTAGAAAAGTCTGGACTGAAGACCAGTACAGAGGTTCTGATCATGTGCAAAGATGTTCCTGAAACAGCCCAGCACACACCAGCAGGGTGTCCTCAGATCACCACCATCAAGGAGGGGGTGTAGTCGGGCACTAGGGGAAGCAAAGAGAGCCTGCTGTTCATACATTTTTGATGGACCTCCACTGGAGATCATCAGACCAACTCAAATGGTTACGGACTCTCAGAGGTACACGACGACGTAAAACAGTTTTATCTCTAACGATTAAATTAATTCCTAGCAGAGTTCATCTGTCATAAACAAAACCAGAACAGGAACATCTACAGAGGATCTTCTTTAGATAAACTCAACAACCGTCAGGCTTTTACATGTAGAATAAAACATTTATGATGCGTCCCATCTGACTGGTACTGCCACTCTGACTCAACCGCCCATTACTGACAGGATGTTTACACACTCAGGCAATAAGGAAGTTCTGCTATCAGCCTCTTAGCTCCACAAATAGAAATCTGACTAACATGTCAGCGATCCATCTGAGCCAGCCACTAGTGGACCAGGGCAAATATCTGAGAAATCAGCAATTTATTCTTTTATGATCACAATAACTTCTGTGTAGAAGACATGGCCACACATGGAATCGGCTCATTTTCTAGAACCTTATGAGCTACAGGCAGAGGAGGACTTCAATAGATCAGAAGACTAAACCTCTCTGCTGTTAGGACCTTCACATCTGTTCACACCTGGTGTCCCAGGTGGTTCTAGGGGGGTGTCGTCTGCACCATGATGAAGTTTTTAGATCAACCTGACTCTCCTACAAAGAACCTCATGTGGATCAGCCCCACACGGTTCTGAACATCAGTGACTGCAGTTAGGGTGAGCCCCAGGAGGGTGACGACCCCACCAGTAGGAGTCGTGGAGCCGGTCTGGTCTCCAGGAACCAGTCGTATTTAACTTGAGCTGCTCTTTGACCACAACCCTCGTTGAGTCACAGTGATAAGGCTGTAGGGCGGGCTGGGACGCACCCAGGACTCGCTCTCTGTGAAATCAGGACCGGACCACTCTGAAAGGAAGTCCGTGTCCTGGTATGATGACATCAGCAGTACGCAGGGCCTTGTGACGGTTCACCTCCTGGACCGCACAATCCAGACTCAGATCCCTCCATGTGTCCTCATCTGACCAGCTCTCAAACAAATCCCCTGCAACCAGCACAGCTCCTGCTGATGTCCCCAGAACCTGGACGCTGACATCCTGTCCCGTGTGGCCAGGGGTGGGAATGACAGACACCTGGGGGGAGAGGACCGAGAAGGATTATTGTTTATGAACACATGTGTGTTGACCTTTGACCCTGTCAATCAAGAACCTTAATAGAATTGGTGAGGAGCGCCCGCCAACCTCCCATAGCTTTGGTCAGCTCAGTAAGCTCGTAGCTACATCACCTCAGTTCGACCAGACCCCACTGAGTGAACTTTCATGTTTTATATTTGTTGTTTTAATGAATCTGTGTTATTCGTTTGCTCTTGCTGATTGTTTTAAATCCTGTTCTGACTTTTTTCTGCTCTTTTGTGATCTTTATCTTCATTCTCCACTTCCACCTTCTGGTTCTAGCTGGGTTCAGCGGACTGGATCAGGTCTGCGGGGTCAGTGTGATAAGCAGCTGAAAACTACATTCACCAGACCAGAACCAGCAGGTCAGAGCTGAACCAGAACCGGTCCCTCAGGGGCGTGTCCAGGGAGTGGCCTGGGGTAGCACATGCCACCCTTAGAATCTGATTGGCCACCCCACTAAGTTCCAGTTTAAATTGACTTTACATTGTCGACAAAAGGCTTGAGTTGTAAACTCCAAAATAGTGTGGTTGCAAGCACCTTTCACCTTGTTTTCTAGCCCAGGCATTTAGTATTAATATTATTTAATATTCTTTCATATTCACATACATAGTATTTAGAGTCCCACTCAACTCCAGTTGGTGGCAGTAATGCAACAAGAAGTGACTTGCTAACCACCACAAAAGTAGAAGATTAAGAGGGGGAAAAAAAGGTGATTGTGCAATGTGAAACTCAAAAATTCACTAGAAAGTAATAAATAAATGATTTGTGTAAATAAATAAATAAGCATAACCATTGGTGCCACCCATGAATAATCAAGTGCCCCACATGGGCCACCCCATTTTAAAAGTCCTGGACACGGCTCTGCGGTCCCTCTGTCAGAGTTCTGGATGATGGATCTTATTTAGACCTAAGAACTCCAGAGAGAACCTTAAGTTGAGGCTGGGGTCGGAGCATCCCTCTTGTCTGTCAGCACACATAAAAACCAGGATCACGATCAGAAACAGATCCACTTCTGAGGGAACCGGTCTATTAGGGTCCAGAACCTGAGGTCATGTGGGCACATGCAGAGAGACACCTGAAACATGCCCCCCACACTGCTGTGGTACCTACATGTTGGTCCACTGAGTAATTCTGTCCCTGAGCCAGCTGGTTCGGACGGTACCGGTCCCCCTCACTGATGTCGAACCCCACGATGGTCTGAGCGGAAGGAAACAGGTTCAGGTTTCCGATGTGGTCTGAGTGTCCGTGAGTCCCCACGACCAGATCGATGTCCCCGGGTGTCAAACCTCTGTCTTCTAAAGACCTGAGGAGGACGTCCCGGTCCCACGGTCCTCCGGTGTCCACCAGAATGGTCCTGATTCCCGTTATGAGGCTGATGGTCCCGTCAGCGAGGAACGTCCCGTCGGTCTGAGGGGAACAGTAACCGACTTTAAGGACTGACACGGAGTACGGGACACCGGGAAAGTCCAGCTCTGTCTCTGACAGACACTGTCTCTGATACACACCCACGGAACCGACGGGATCCATGTCTGGAACACGCTACACTACTACTTGTTTTTCTTTTCCAGTCAGGCGGTTTTCATGCACCGTTGACGTCGTGCTGCCCCCTGCATGCAGGACAAAGTATGTGACTTAAAACGATTTTATTTTATTTTATTATTTTATTTTATGTAAATACATAGGAACACGTCAGACCTTCTAAACCAGTATCCTGTCTTTTTCAGTCCACCTCTGAACCAGAAATATTAGAGGCTTCTTACTCGGACTGAAAAGCTCTTTTCAGGTTAAATGTGTGGGTAGAAATAGGTAAAATTTTCAAAATTACCGAAGACATTCTTTTTACAAATTGATTTTTAAAAAATCACAATATGTGATAAATTATATAGCCCGTGCTTGCAACTCGATCCAAGTTCGTTCTGGGGTTCGTTCTAAGCGTGCGTAGTTTCCGTTCCTGGCGGAACCCTTGTAGCGCTACTCTTACTAGTCGGACTGTACTTCCGTCACACATTCACACTAACGTCATCCAAAATGGCGCAACCCATAGAAGATGTGAAAGGCTCGTCTTTTATGGACCCCTTTAAAGGCATTTTACTGTCCTACTTCATGCCAGAGTCCTGCTACGACCAGTTTTTTCTCAACTTTAACTTCCTGGACGGTGAGCAGCTGCTGTTAGCGCGGCTACAGCCGCTGATGTGATGAAATGCACCGTTCTGACCTGCTCTGATGAGCTTCCGGGTCATTAATTGTGTTTAAAATGTCAAACAGCTGATCAGATACAGCTGATCAGATACCATAGATTGATAGCGTATTTAAGCCAGCCCAGTTCTGAGGTGGTGTAGAGGCAAACAACGCACTGAATTGAACATTATCGGAGGAAGGTTTCACAAATCATTTACAGTTATTTAAATATTCTGTTTATAGAAAGTTGGAGATCAGGTTTGAATGTTTTATGTCATGTAGCTGTTGAACTGTGTAAAAATCAGGAACGGGAAACAGAAGCCAACTTCTTCATTTACTAGAGAGATAAAGTCGCGTCCTGATCACCTCACGAGAAATTGTAATAAGCATTTAATGATAATTAAAAAAAATGTTGAAGATGGTGGTGGGCGGAAACTGACGACAATTGACGCTCCATTTACAGTTGTTGAACTTGAGCGAGCGATTGGGAGAACTAAAGTGAAGTCATCTGGTAAGGATGATATTAATTATGAGATGCTTAAACATTTAGGGGATACGATGAAGGGAAGGCTGTTGGAGTTATATAATAAAGTCTGGGAAAAAGGAAAATTACCAAAAAATTGGAAAGAGGCAGTGATAATTCCGATAATTAAACCTGGGAAAGATCCAAGTATTCCGGAGTGCTATAGGCCGATAGCTTTAACGTCTCATATAGGTAAAGTAATGGAAATAATGATTACGGATAGGTTAAATTATTATTTAGAAAGTAGGAATTTGTTGATGAAATATCAAAATGGGTTTAGGACTGGTAGAGGAACGATGGACGCCATAGTGAGTTTGGAAAATGACATTAGGAAAGCACAAAACAATAAAGAGAGTTAAGTTATAGTTTATTTTGATATCGAGAAAGCATATGACATGGTGTGGAAGGAGGGCTTGCTGATTAAATTAAAAAGGTTGGGGATAGAGGGAAGAACATATGATTGGATTAAGGACTTTTTGTTTAATAGATACATTCAGATAAAAATAGGTGATTAGTTTGTCAGCGGGTTATAGGGTTGACAATGGGATGCCACAGGGAAGTGTGATCAGTCCTGTTCTATTTTCTATTATGATCAATGATGTGTTTGAAGAGATAGGGTATGATGTTGGGAAAGCATTGTTTGCAGATGATGGAATATTATGGAAAAGGGGAAGGAACATTCAATACTTGCAGAAGAAAATTCAGGAAGCAATAATTAAAGTGGAGAATTGGTCTTTTGAATGGGGATTTAAGTTTTCGGTGGACAAAACAAAAAGTATGGTCTTTACAAAGAAAAGAAATGTCAAGATTGAGCTTAAATTATATAGGGAACCTTTGGAGCAAGTTCATAGTTTTAGATATTTGGGTGTTATATTTGATGAAAGGTTGATTTGGAAGGAGAATATTAATAACATAGTTGAAAGATGTTAAAAGGTGATAAATATTATGAGGTGTTTAAGGGGTAGTGATTGGGGGGCTAGTACCAAGGCTTTAAAACAGGTATATATAGCAATGATCAGATCGGTTATTGATTATGGTAGTATTGTATATAGTTCCGCAAGTAAAACATTACTGAAGAAAATTGAAGTTATTCAAAGTCAGGCTTTGAGAATTTGTTGTGGAGCAATGAAAACCACACCGGTAGTGTCCTTACAAGTGGAAATGGGAGAGATGCCATTGCCTCTAAGATTAAAGTTGCTGAAATTAAATTACTGGGCTAGTGTACAAGGTAGTGAAGAGGATGAGCATATGGTTAAGGGAGAGATGAAAGTAGGAGGGCAATGTTTCAATGGACAGTATGAGAGTTTGGTTTGGAAGTCATGTAGATTGGCCTTTAAATTAAATGATATGGTTGTTCTTAAGAAATTTTTATATTCACCTACTGCATTTTGGTTATTTCCAAAAGTGATGATAGATTTTCATATTCACAATGCAATTAACATACGGAAAGGTGTGGGAAACTGGGATAATGTTGTGGAAGAAAGATTAAATGACGCTCATCAATCATTCATCCCTGTATATACTGACGGGTCGAGAGAGTCAGGAAATTTAACTGGGTTTTCTTTCTGGATTCCGAAATTTAGTAAATATCATAAAAGCCGAACATCTAATAATCTGTCAGTATATACAGTGGAAATGTTAGCCATTTCATTTAGTTTACAGCGGATAGAACAAAACAGTGTTAGGAAAAGTATTATTTGCTCGGACTCCATGTCTGTATTGTTGTCAATTAAAGAAATGTCAGCTGATAAGAGGTCAGATATTTTGTATGAGATGTTTGAGTGCTTGTTTAGGTTGATGAAGGCTAATTCAGAGGTTAGGTTTATGTGGGTTCCAGCTCACAGTGGAGTAGAGGGTAATGAAATAGCTGATTATTATGCAAAGCAGGCAACGAAACTGGATACTGTGATGGAGGTTCCGTATAGCGTTGCAGAGGTGAAATCAGTTATTAGACAGCAGATTCTGGATGAATGGCAAGAGCAACGGATACGGGACGTGAAAGGAAGACATTTATACAAATTAAAGGGACAGGTTGGAAGAATGGAAGTCATTCAAATGAGTAACAGAAATCAAGCAGTGATAACAAGGATGAGACTGGGACATACAGCTTTGAACAGTACGCTTTTTATTCTTGGACAGCGTAATACCGGTAGGTGTGACGTGGACGTGATAGGGAAACGGTAGAACATGTATTATGTGCTTGTAGAAAATATGTGGGGAATAGGAAATTGTTGGTTGAAAAATTAAAAGTTAAAGGATATAAGGAATTTGAGTTGGGTGTTCTGTTAAATGGGGGACTAGCGGTGTATAATTAGTCATAGACTTTTTAAGGGACAGTGGATTACTTGATAGAATTTATTTATTTATTTTTTTTAAAGTAGGATACTCCCCACTTCGACTCACACTCCCATTCAGTAGGTGGCGGAAATGCACCTGAAAGTTGGTTGCCACCCGCCAATTAAACAACAGAAGAAGAAGAACCTCCAGCTGCCTGGTCTAGGCTCTTGTTTCTGGGAGAGGTCTCCAGGTCCAGTTCTCTGGACTCCTGGGTGTTTCTGAGTCCTGCTGGCTCTCGGGTGTCGTGGATCAAACTCTGCATCAGTACACTGTAAAAAGAAAAAGTAGATCCAACTTAAAAAATTGCTTCAATCGGTAACAAGCAATTTACTTAAGTTAATCCAACTTAAATTATTAGTACAATTTTAATAATTTAGGTTGGATAAACTGCTTGTCACCAATTGAAGCAATTCAGTTAGGTTGATGAAACTATTCTCTTTTTTCAGTGTAATGTTGGCTTTCTGGGGAGTCCAGTCTTTCTCTGCTCCCATATTTGGTGACACATGGCTTTGAACAGCTTAAAGGGTTTCTATACTTTTCTTTGCACTTTATTTTGAAAAACTCCGGAAGTTGTGTCTGGACTTAATCCCTGCATCAGTGCAGACATCCTCTCCTGACCTAGCCAGGCGTGAAGTGTCCTGAACCGTTCAGATGTGTCACCTGTTTTCGTTTGGCACCAACACCTTGTTGTTTTTATGTATCTGCATTATTTATTTGCTCTTGGTGTTTTCATTTGGGCAGAACTTCCACTTTCCACCAGCAGGGGGCACTGCTGACCCAAACAGCAGTTCTGAGGCGGATAAATGGTGAGCCTCGTTTCCTTTAGGTCCTGTGGGTGGGTGGTCTTTATCTGAGAAAGACAAACTAGGATGTTACCTGAAGAAGAGATGTGGGACATGTTTATAGGACAACATCTTGGGTTTCTACCTCCTAGTCCTGAGGTCCATGTCTGAGATGCACCTGCTCTGATGTTCCTGCAGTTATCATCGGCACAACAACACTAAATAAAAATAAAAACCACAAACCGAGTTGAACTGGAGGTTTACGGGTCTCCATGAGGCTGGTTTGGTCTTTGTTGTGTAACAGTCAGGTGATGACTCATCTGTGTGTGTCGTTGCAGTACCATGTCTGAAGGTTGTCGTGAGCAAAGCTCTGGGGATGGGCATCATCCTGGGATCAGTGATGGGTAAATGTGTCTCCTGTTTACATCTCACTAAACGTTACTCTAAATGATGAAGGAACAGTAGCACTGGATCCAAGGAGAACAGCAAGGATGAAGTGAAAATATCAAGAAAATAAATATAAGTAGTATTTCTAGAATGAAAGGTTGATGCAAACTAGAAATCTAAATAAATAAATAAACAAAAACGTTATTAAAGCTGTTATAGCAAATCTACAGAACAGGCTAGGTTTTGAACCCAAAGGCGGTGACAGAACCGTCACCCCATCCCCTCTTGGATCTCCCTAGGAAGGTGCAGCGGTTCAGCAAGACCGACAGCCGGGTGGTCCAGTCTTTGGTTTTGGTCCGAGCCGTGTTATTGGTAGATGTTTGTAGACACATGTCAGAAAACAATCGCATTCATTTTTTTGTTGTTCTTTTGTTTTTTTTTATTTCCACATATTTATACTATGTTAGAATGTTAAGAGGCGTGAAAAATAGTTTAAAGCTGATTTGTTTTCCAAGTTTGCCATCGCAGCTTTAACCACTAGTTAAAATCATCTTTTATGGTAAAAATATAATTCTACTATGCTGAAATACTATTTCCATGAAAAGTTTTGAAAAAATGGTTTAAAAAAAGTTAAAGTCCCATTAGTTGTCACACACAGGTGTGTGTGCGAAATTTGTTCTCTGCATTTGACCCATCCCCTGGGGGAGCAGTGAGCTGCAGACAAGCCGCGCTCGGGAACTATTTGGTGGTTTAACCCCCCAATCCAACCCCTTAATGCTGAGTGTCAAGCAGGGAGGCATTGGGTCCCATTTTTTCAAAGTCTTTGGTATGACCCGACCAGGAATCGAACCCTGAGCTCCCAGTCTCTGGGCGGACACTCTACCACTAGGCCACTGAAGAAGAGGAATGAGTGTTTGGGACTCTTATTTTGAAGGACTGAGCTGCACTTCCTATCAATCAAATGTCTCCTTTATTGAGTTTACTCAGTGAAATCTCACCAGAACCTTCAGTTACAAAAATAAAAACAGAACAAATAGCAACAGGTTCTGAAATAACTCAATTTTAACTTATGTTTTTAAGTAGTTTTGTGACTTTTTGTTTTCTCAACATTTTGAGATGCAGGCATGTCTGTAGGAACCCGTTTAGTTTTCATCGGTGGTGTGTGCCACTAACAGCAGCCTCTTTGATCAGCCTGCCTGCAGGTGTAGCTGGTGAAGATGACCTCATGATTAAGTTTCTCATAAACGTATTTGATGAAATGCTCAGAGTTCTTTGTTCTGAGCGCCCCTGAGGCTCGGCTCAGAAGGCCCTCTGACCCCTGGTGACTCTGCTCCTCTTCGACAGTAAAGCTACCTCAGATCATAAAGCTGATGGGAGCACGGAGCGCTGAGGGCCTGAGTCTGAACTCGGTGCTCTTGGAGCTATTGGCCATCACTGGAACGATGGCCTACAGCATCGCCAACAAGTTCCCCTTCAGGTTGGTTCTGTTCAGTCTGAAGCGGGTCGCTCCGACATGTCCGTATGGATGAACCCTGGTTATTTCTGCCCCCCAGTGCCTGGGGGGAGGCTCTGTTCCTCATGCTGCAGACCGTCACCATTGCCTTCCTCATCCAGCACTACAGAGGAAGAACGAGCCGAGGTGAGACCGGAGCACACCAGGACACGGTCTGGAGACTAAGATCTACAGAGAAAACTACTTCCTGTGCACGTTAACATGTTTGCCTGGTTTGTCTCCTGTCCTGCAGGTCTGCTCTTCCTGGTTGTGTATGTGATCTTGGTTCTGGTCCTCCTGTCTCCGGTCACTCCTATGGTAGTGGTTACGTCCATGCAGGCCTTTAACATGCCGGCCATCATCACTGGGAGGGTAGGTCCAACACAGAACCGGTTCTACGGATCAGCCAGAACATCATAACCAGCCGCGTGTGCACGAGGGTCTCCTAAATGTGTTTTTAAGTTCAGCACCTCACCAGTTGTGCTGCCAGTTTCCCCATCTCGACACGTCATAAATGACCCACACTTTCAGAGTCAGAGGACTCCAAAGCGCTTTGTACTACAGTGTATCATTCATCCGTTCACACACACACACACACACACACACACACACACACACACACACACACACACACACACACTGATGGGGATTAGCTACTCTGTAGCCACAGCGTCCCTGGCGCGTACTGACAGAGTTAACTTAAAGTTGTACATGCTTTTCCGTCAAGTTTTTCTTTATTAATTTACAAAATTTGCAAAGAAAATTATTTACGCAGTTTTCAGAGATTGTGTTGTGTGTTGTGCGCAAGCGAGCTTCACGGATGAGGCCCCTGGTCTGCTCCGGCCCGGAGGAATCTGGGTCGTCACACTGGTTATGATGGTCTACCTGACCTCGTATAAGGACTCAGTGACCAGGATTTAAACAACGTGTGTGTGTGTGTGTGTGTGTGTGTGTGTGTGTGTGTGTGTGTGTGTGTGTGTGTGTGTGTGTGTGTGTGTGTGTGTGTGTGTGTGTGTGTGTGTGTGTGTGTGTGTGTGTGTGTGTTTCAGCTAATCCAGGCAGCCACCAACTTCCGCAACGGACACACTGGACAGCTCTCTGCCCTCTCCATCTTCCTGCTCTTTGCTGGTTCTGTTGCACGGATCTTCACCTCTCTGCAGGTACTGACGCTGGTTTTGTTCAGGTCTAACTGGACCTGCTCTGAGGCTCTAACTAGACCTGTTCCTGTGGTGTTCCAGGAGACGGGTGACTCTCTGATGGCGCTGACCTACGTCATCTCTTCCACCTGTAACGGGATCATCGCGCTGCAGGTTCTGTACTACTGGAACTGCAGCCCAGAGCAGCAGCAGAAGAAAAAGGAGTAAGAACCGAAGATCCACTTGGATCTGCTCTGTAACACTTGATAGGACGAGACAGCTGTTTGAGATGGTGGTGCCTCTGGTCCAGAACCATCCAGGTCCTGTGGACTCATCTACATTCCTCTGATCAGAATCATTAAAAGTTCTGACTGCATCTGAGTCTTGTGCATGTGTGTGCGTGTCTCAGCTTCTTTGTTTCTGTTGAATTTTTTCTTAGTCAATGAAAATGTTCTAACCCGTCTTGTTAAACGTGTTCAATAAAATGTAAAAACGTTAAAAATTTCAGTTTAAATGTATTTTTAGACCTGCAGTCAGAACCGGACCCAGAACCTTCCGGGTTTCATCAGGTGAAGAAAACGATCTTTTCTCTAGCGTCTCTCAAGATAACAATCATGAGGCGCTTCACAAGAGCAAACGTGTAAAATATAAAGATTTTTTTATGATTAAAGGTGTGGTTACATGATTTTTAAAAATGTAAAGAAAAGGAAATGCCGGTGGATCCGGGGAAAGGCGGGGTTGGTAGAAAAGCAGAATAGGGAGAGGGTGGTGACGAAGGTCACGCAAAAGCCTGAACAGGTGAGTCCTCAGGTGCTCTTTAAAGGAGTCCACTGATCTCAGGCTCAGGGGGAGAGGAGTCCAGAGTCTGGGGGCCACAGCAGCAAATGATCTGTCACCTTTGGTCTTTAGCCTGGTGCGTTGCACAACCAGTAAATGGTAAATGGCCTGTATTTGATATAGCGCCTTCTAGAGTCCTGGAACCCCCCAAGGCGCTTTACAACACAATCAGTCATTCACTCATTCACACACTGGTGGGGATGAGCTACGATGTAGCCACAGCTGCCCTGGGGCGCACTGACAGAGGCGAGGCTGCCGAGCACTGGCGCCACTGGTCCCTCCGACCACCACCAGCAGGCAACGTGGGTTAAGTGTCTTGCCCAAGGACACAACAACAGCGACAGACTGAGTGGGGCTCGAACCTGCGACCTTCCGATTACGGGGCAAGCACTTGACTCCTGTGCCACCGTCGTCCAGTAGGCTTTGATCACTGGACCTCAGGGACCTGCTGGAGGTGTAGGGACTAAGAAGATCACCCATGTAAGATGGTGCTTGTCCATGTAAGGCCCTATAGACCAGAACCAGGATCTAGAAATGAACCCTGAAGTTGACTGGCAGCCAGTTGTGGCAAGGTGGAAGATCAGGCAGTGTGAGCGTCCTGTCACAGTGTCCCGACTGATCATGCGCCCTGGCTACTTGGCCACGGGGATGTCCCTTTGGCTGGCTGATAAGCACGCAGGACTCTCACCTGGGAGTCTGGGGACCGAATCCCGCCCGGGCCCTCGTTTCTCCACCTTGCCACAATTGGCATTGATGGCAGGATCCATGTAGTACTGTCAAGTAGGTCCATGGATTTTAAACCGGTCTGTTGTGGTGAAGATGGGGCTGAGCCGCAAAGCAAGTCTCTCGATTTACCACCCAGTCCTCATGGTCGTGAGCTTTGGGAAATGATCAAAAGAACAAGATGGCGGATACAAGTGGCCGAAATGAGTTTCCTCCACAAGGTGGCTGGGCTCAGCCTGATAGGGGGAGGAGCTTCGGCAATCGGGAGAGACTGAGTGGAGCCGCTGCTCCTCCATATCGAGAGGAGTCAGGTGAGGTGGTTTGGGCATCTTTTTAGGATGCCTCCTGGACGCCTCCCCAGGGAGGTACCATGTACCGCTTTACCAATCTGGTACCACAGAGACATGATGGGTGGACTGGTTCTGATGCTGAAGTAACGCTCCTCTGGTTCCTGTTGGTCTGAGTGCTGAACCACATCACAGTACATCCTGTCCACATGCGTTCACATGTCCCTGTGCACATCCACACTAATGTGTCCGTGTGTGTGCACCTGTGTCTGTGTCCATCTGTCACTGGCCATTCATGTTTGTGTCTCACGTCTGTGTGTTGCTGAGTTAGTGTCCCAGCGTCTCCGTCCTGATTTACCTGGATCCTATCAGCTTTTGTGACTGAATCCAGAACCAGTTTTCTGGATCAGCTTCTGGTTCCGTCCCTTCTGCACCTGGTCTTAAACAAGCCAGGCTCTGTGTCCTTCGGGCGGGCTTGGACCAGTCCGTGTCCTCGGCTCACCACTCAGTCCAGCAGAGCGACCGCAGCTCTTTGTGAACCAGCAGATCCATGGAAACCACTTGTTGAAGCCTGGCTGCTTGTTGCCGGGCAATGTGAGGTACTGGACCAGAAAATCCTTCTATTGACACCCCCTCCCTCCCCCTATTCACTCACGCCCTCTATACCTCACCCCTGCCCGCCCACTGACTCCCCCCCTCAGAACAGGAGCTTCTGTGGCGTTTCTAAATCCTTCGTTCCTGAGCAGTATCACCTGGGTCTGTAGAACTGGGCAGAACTCGCTGTTTTTATTTAACACATTATCAGGAACAAAGACTAATTTGTCTATTCGGCAGCTCAGATCAGTCCAAACTGGACCAACTGGAGCGACAGTAACTTTTAGAAGATAAAGCCAGTTACATCATCATTAGAAACACAGGTTTTCTGCTTTTTTCAACCAGAACTATAAACCTCCGAACCGTTTGGAGCAACAGACAGCTGGTCCAAGAGCAGAACGATGTGGCAACAGTTAGACAGAAATGATGCTTTTTTACAGCATATTTTTCTTGTGTTTATTTTTCACCACTTTGATTTTTTGCACCAGGAAAATGAAGAAATATTGTTTTAATTCAGTCTGTCTTATAATAACGGGAAAGGAAAATATAAAGGAATGCAGGGAAGACAGCAGGACCTTTCTAACTCAGACTACAGGTCCAAAGCCAGCTGCTTCACAAACATTTACCGACTCAAAACTTTAGGGGCCTTAAGGTTCTGATCCAGTTCAAAGACTTTGATAGAAAAACTGGACCCAATGCCTCCCTGCTTGACACTCAGCGTTGGATTGAAGGGTTGAACCACCAAATGGTTCCCGAGCACAGCTGTGTCTGCAGCTCACAGCTCCCCTGGGGGTCAAATGCGGAGAACAAATGTCACACACACACACACACACACACACACACACACACACACACACACACACATCAGTGTGTGTGACAACTGATGGGACTTTAACCATTTAAACCAGTGTTCATGTGCGTGAGGAGGTTGGTGAGCCACTGAGTGGTGGCTGGTGTTTGCAGCAGGGTGAGTGTCACAAGTTAAAATCACTCCCTAGTTCCTTTATTGAAGTTCAAAGGTCACAGGTCGTTTACCAGTATGTAGGAGTTGGCCACAACCCAGCTGGTTCTGGAATAAGAAATTCAAATTTAGGCCACTTTACCATTCCTGGAGAGATGGGATTCTGATGACCCATGACACAGCTGGCCAGCAGTCCTGGACCAATAGTTTTGGAGGGACACCCTGAGTTATTCTACATCCCAGAGTTTTTGGACCCGTTTTGGATCCCCCTCCCCCCTCCTGCTGATCCCAGTGCCCTCGTCTTTTATCCCGTCCTTCTCGCTCCGATCCCCTCCCCTCAGTGACCGATTAGCCAGTGTGAGGTTCCCTCATATTTCCATGAGAAAGGCAGCGGTCGCTGAAAGGGTTAATCCTGAGGACGCAGCCCCCCCAGAAAGCAGCTCCAATTTTCTGCTCGGTGGGGGGGTGGGGGTGAGGAAAGCGGGGTGAGAGAACAAAGACGCCCGGGGGAGGAACCGAGACTCCGGTTTTACTATATGCACCTGCAGCCTGAAAAGCCGCAGACAATGTGCCTTCGAAACGGCCAATTACAAACGGTTTTCAGAAGAGCTGAGAGGGGGGGAGGGGGGAGTGAAAGGGACTGGGATGGGGATGGGGGGGCAGAAACAAAAATTGAATTTTAAAACAGAGTAAAGATAGGAAAGTAAATAATCACCCCAGTCTTTACAGAGGCCCTCCCAAACTTCCATCTCCCCCGCCTCACCCACCTCCCAGCTGAGTTCTGAAAGAGCTGACTCCACGAGTCATCTTTAAGGTGACTCCAGAAGGTCAGGAGTTGGAAACCTGGACCAGTGTCACACCCATCTACATGATCAGTGATGGTAATTTTAAATTGGCGACTTTTGCCCTTTCCCACTTGCACCTACTCAGCAGCTCTTGGGTGGGTTTCCGTTGCAACTGAGAAACCGCTCTTATGGGTGGGCTCATCCTGACAGGGATGCTGCCAGAGCCAAACACCAGAGACAGAAACACGCCACGCTGAGGACAAGGTAGCCACGTTCAACATTCTGTCTGTTAAACAGTCTTTGGCTTTTCGGCAGACCATGAAAAGACGAGACCCAGGAAGGGTAGGGTGGCAAGATCAAACCCTCTATAGATGTGGCAGGCTCCACCCCCTAGTGAATTGGTGACCAACAATATATTTGCGTTTTCGGCCCAGCATAGGACGCTTGGATTCACATCAATTTTGGTTCTAAAAATGAGGCATCATCCATGAATGTGGTGCCGAGTAAGTGCTAGTGAAAAAGGGCCAAAGAATTAGAACCGGGTCTGCAGAGAGATCCCGGTTCCAGCATTAAAGCATCGACTTCGATTCTTTAGAGTTCAAGTATCTCGCTCAAATGTTAAGTACAAAGGTGCTTAAATGAATCCAACATCCACCGTGGAATAACATCAAAATAAAATCAGCAATCATCTGCAAAGACGGATAAGTAGCAGAGGATTGTATTCCTGCTCAGAAGAATTCTCATTTTTATTCGTTAGATTTTAAATCTCAGATTCCCTCGTCGTTGAACAAAAAAGCTGCCACCGCTGAAAGAAGTCCCTCTGGAATTAGGGCATCACCTTAAAGGAGCAACTGCTGCTACCATAAATCTGAGATGGGTCAGAGGTCATTTCCACACGATTTGGAGTCCATCATTCTACATTCAGACAGCTGATCTTTCCCGGGAGTGGACGCCCCAGCAGATTTACAGTAAGGGTCAGAGGTCAGAGCTTCGAAATGAAATAAATCCAAGAATGCCATGTCAGATTCTACGGGTCTCAGCAGGTTAAAGGTCAAAGGTAACAATTCACCAAGTCATACCATGAACTCTGGATCCCAAGGTCTTCCAGAGTCTGAGACCAGCTGTGACTTAGACTGAACGGGTTCAAGAAACAGAACCGTGATCCAGCAGCAGGTCTACCACAGAATCATCGGTCCAGAACAGAACTGCTGTGGTAGGACATTCAGAGAGCCGTGCAGAACCAGATGTCTGCGAACCTGAATGAACTGAAGCAGCGTTAAGAAGAGTGGACTAGAACTCCTCCAGATCAACGTGGTCCAACTAGGACCTCCTCCTGCTGAGGGAGGTTCTGTTGGGTCATCAGGTGGACCCACTTCTCGATTCTGATCCTCAGACGTTTAAACAAGAACAGATGAAAGTTCCTCAGATTGTGACTGAAACCAGTAAAGAGTTGATCTACACCTCCAGATGCCCCGCCCACACCAGAACTTTATGAACACCTCCAGATGCCCCGCCCACACCAGAACTTTACTTTATGAACACCATCACGAGTCCTTAATGGTAGCTTTAATCAAAAAGTAACAAAGACTGATTGTGAGTCTGAAATATTTACAGCAGATTTACATTTAGTGAGTAGACACATTTACTCTATTATACTCGAGTACTAACGTTACTCATGTACCTGGTAGTGATGTAAACATCCACATGTGGCAGGAGCTGTTCCTGGTTCTCGTTTCCAGTGGGTTTGGTACCAGGACATAAAGGTTCTGCTGGTTTGGAGGTTAAAAACTAAACTAAACACCTCGTGGGAAACCATGATTAAAAATTCATTTAAGAGTAAAACAAGAACAAAAAGTTACAAACACGACCGGACCTTAACGAGTTTAAAAACCTAAAAAAAAAAAAAAAAACCTCTACAAGCAGCACATTGGATCAGAACCAATAACTGGAACCAGACATTTACAGTGAAAACAGAATCTCCTGCCCTCCGATCCAACACCGACAGAACCCATGGTTGTTTTACTGGTGCAGATTGTCCTACAGGCGGTTCTGGTGTCAGCCCGCAGAACTTAACGGGAAAAACTGAGGATCCAAGGCACAAAGTTCTGTTCATTTTTATCAAGACCAGCATCATCCAGTACCGGATCAATGGCAGCAGAACCCAACAGGCAGAGTTCTGGAGGGCTGCTGAGCTGGGTCCGGCGGGTCGGTTCTGTGTAACGCTGCTGTAGGTCCAACATCCACCTCTCAGACTCTGCTCACACCACAGAAGTCCTCTGTAAAAGTCCAAAGGCCTGAATCGAACCGGGTCTCGGTACCGAGGGCTGACGTGTCGTGTGACGGCAGCAGTGCGTGCTTGTCGTTTTCCCATCCAGTAACTGGGTCAAAACCCTGAGTGTGAAGGAGGTGAGATCAACATCCTGGGACTTCCCACCTACAGAACTCATCACCTGGTCCGGTTCCACCCTTCCCCGCCCCGTATCCCACTCCAGTTCTAGATGTGTGTAAGCGGGACGGTTCCGGTGAGGTAGTGCTGCTGGACCCCGGTGTAGCCCCTCTGCGCCGTGGCCGGGTCTGAAGAGTCCCCTCCTGGTCCAGGGATGTACATGCTGATCATGTCCCTCAGGTCCCCCTGCAGAGCTCCTCGGTGGTGGTTCTGGGTTCCTGCTGAGGGTGAATGGGTCACCGGTTCTGCCTTCACCATGGACATGGTGACCGGGCTCAGCTGCTGCGGGCTGGTGCTGTAGGACATGGGGCTGTGGGGTACAGAACATATCACATTAGAACCAGAGTCCACACCAGAACCAACTCACAGCAAGAGACAGAGGTTCTAACCCAGTTCTAATACCAGGAAGGAACCTCCAACAGAACAAGAATGGAAACAGGGCTAAGAGGATCTCAGGTCCAATGTGGAACTGGACCGGTTGAGACAGGACGGTTCTGTCTGATGTGGTACCACCACGTTCTTCTGTGGAAATGCAGATCCAGGATAAGAGAAGTTCTGGTTCCACTTCACAATGTCCCTGGACAAACTCAACGGGGACACGACACCGTCCAGCCTGAACCTCCTGATCAGAACCTCAGAGGACCCGGGCCTAAAGGCGTTTTGAGAAGGATCTGAAGGTCTAAAACATCCAAGAGTGACAGACGTGAACTCAGACACGTCAGAGCAGGTCGCAGCAGACAGCTGATGGTGGAGAAGGTTCTCATCCCCGCTCCTCCTGCAGCTGCTCAAACCTCACGATCGTCCTTTCAAATGTGACTTCTCAGCATCAGACTACTACGCTGGGGTTGGCCTCAAATCATGAGGAACATGGAGGACAGGATCTGATTGGTTCACGAGGTCATGCCATGGAGCAGGTGAAATCAGCTACTAGGACCTACACATGACCTCTGAACCCACATGGGCCACCAGCATCAGTAGGACAATCAACATCTTTTAGGACTGAGTGGTGAAAGAGCATCCCAGCTGCAAATAGCAGTTGGATCTGCTCAGAACATGACCGCCCACTTCTCTACAGGACATTTAAACCAGCAGAACCAGAACCAGGAACATGATGGACCCCAACCATTCAGCCCAGTTACTCACCCTCTGTCCTTCAGGCAGATGACCAAAAAGCCTCAGAAGGTTGCTGTGGGATCAGCGACCTCTGACTTTTGTTCACTACAGGCTGAGGAGCTTGGACGTTTCTAGTACAGGTTCTTTCAGGCTGGCCTCCTTTAGGTTCCTCACAACTCTGACGGACCACTGAAGGAGTTCTGATTGACGGCTCACTCAGTAATAATTCTGCATCAGAACCCAGCTTTGGACTCCTGTGGGTCATTGACTCCAACAGCTGGAAGGTTTGGAGGATCAGGGGACTGATTTTGCTGTCATCTCTGGACCCTTCATGGGTTCACCCATCAGGAAGTGGTGTGGCTCGGTCCGTTAGGGACAGCTGGACTAAGGAGGGCAACGGAGCGGCCAAGTCCACCTGATCAACAACCCAGACAGGACCTGGTTCAGAATGGTACCACACACATAATAGACCAACCAGAACCAGGGTTTCACTCGGACTTGGACGTGGTCTGGTTTAGACCCACAAGCTTCAAACCCAGTTCAGGCCCGATTATCTGGACTGGTTACACAGGAGCAGAACCATGGTTTGGTTACAAAAAAAATTCAAGAACTAATTTTAAAAAGCCCACTGGACCCTTGGTTCTACTTCCTTTATGAGTTCTGTAATAAAGTGCATGCTGACAGAATCGCTCTGCCCATTTTAGAAGGATGTGGACCCGGAGTTGTGATGGTCCAAGTTCCACTGGTGTGTGTGTGCGTGTGTGCGTGCGTGCGTGCGTGCGTGTACCTGTAGGAGTTGGTTCCGCTCATGTAGGTCTGAGCCGGGCCCATGGTGGGCGGGTACTGGAGGGCGGACAGGTCATACCGGTGGAGGGGCTGCGTGTATCCGAGCGGGTCCGCCTGCATGCCGGAGTAGGTTCCGGTGGGCGCCCAGCCGAACCCGTCCATCCGGGGACTGGCGCCCTGGTTCTGCGCCGCCGCTGCCAGCAGGTTCCCGGCGGACAGTGGGTACTTGGCCCCCGGGGGGTCCTTCTTCAGCAGCGGCTTGGTCTTGCGCCGGGGCTTGTACTTGTAGTCCGGGTACTCCTTCATGTGGACCGCCCGGAGCCGCTTGGCCTCGTCGATGAACGGACGCTTCTCGGTGTCGGTCAGCAGCTTCCACTCCGCCCCCAGACGCTTGCTGATCTCAGAGTTGTGCATCTTGGGGTTCTCCTGGGCCATCTTCCGCCTCTGGCCCCGGGACCACACCATGAAGGCGTTCATGGGTCTCTTCACCTTGTCCATTGGGTCGCTTCCCGGCGGGCACGCAGGTTTCGGGTGAGAGTTTCCGTTGGTCCCCATGCTCCCGGTGAGGTTTCCGGTAATTGATGCCATGCCCGGTGAAGTATGGTGGCTCTGGTGGGTTTGTGTCTGACCCGGGGGCTTCAGCTCGTGCTCCATCATGCTGTACATGTCGGACAGGTGCGCTGGTGTCGGGTTTCAGCGGAGTTCTGACTCGGTTCCCCAGCAAGTTTGACCGGGAGGACCGGCTGGTTTCAATCAGGGCGCTAATGACCCGGATCAGATTCTAATCTCGGACTTTTCTCTCAACTTAAAGACAATTCAAAGTTCACTAAGCAGACGGAACCAACCTGTTGAAGTCCAGATCACACTGGACTCATCACGTCCCCCTCCGACAGTCCAGCCGAGCTCCCACAGCACCAGGAGCCAATAGGAAGCCAGAACTCGGCTCTGACTGGGACCATTTAAATATGAAAAGGTTCTGGGGAACTTGTTGATGTGGGGGGCACAGGGGCGGTCCTAGGCCCAGTCCTCCTGGGGGGCTGGATCCCAATGTCGTCACAAATCACAACAAGCAACCAACACTGATCATAACCGGTCTGATTACAGAACTTCAGCAATCCAAGAAAACAGAAGAAATCCAGCTTTAGTCTGGACCCTACCTGGGGTGAATAGAAACACCTGAGGGTCGGTGAGAGAGGATCTGGCTTTTCACAAGCTAAACAACTGTAGTTTCAGAGAATAAACCTAAGCTTCGGATCCAGTAGAAACACTACATTCTGGTTCTGTTGGTCTTTTTTATTAGAGCAGAGGAACTGGATCAAACCTCTGAGGTCACTTCTGATGCTCAGGAGAACTCCATAATAAAAGTTCTGTAGTGACTGGTTTCAAAATACAAGGTTTTGGGATTTATTTGGAGAAATGACCTCTGCTGGTTCAATCCTTTACTTTCTGACTCTGAAGTGAAAACCAGAGAGCCTGACTCTAATCCTGACCGACCACCTCCATCTTTAAAGGAGAATCTGGCGGTGAAACAGAAACTGGCTGAAGATCTTCGGTTTGTGAAGAGAACACGTTCAGCCAACTTCTCCCGTTTCTTCATCTCCTTCATTAACATGTGGAACAGTGAGACTGGTGTGTCAGAGGCACTTAGTATCACGTCTGCTTATCCGACTGCAGGTGAAAAAGAAAAATACAGAAATTAAAAACAGGGAAAAGTGGGGATGTTGTTGTATTTTTCTTTTTCTTCACGGTGTGGGTTAACTGGGACATCTGGGACCAGGTCTCATAAACACCTTTACCCAGTAGCAGGTTCTACTACGTGTGGTTCTGAGTACTTTATCACGTCCATCTGATAAATCAGAGCCCAGCTGATACTCGTGGACTTTAGGGTCACGGGGTCATTCACTGGAGTTCCTGAGACCAACGGGAAGTTAGTGAAAGGTTCTTTCAGAGAGAGTTAAAACATTTTCACAGTCGTGCGGTCTAAAAGCAAACGTGGAATAAATGTAATTGTTTTATATTTGATGAGTGTCCACAGTGTTGTGTCTGCTCTCTCTCTCTCTCTCACACACACACACACGTGTTCTGGACTTTATTTATCTTTGTTCAGTCTTACGTTGTGTTTTTTCTGTTTTTGTCCTTATTTTCTCCAGGACGTAAATTCTGAAGCGGAGCTAACAGAGATTTGCCACCTGTGCCTCAGCCAGAGGGATCTGTCTATCTCCTGGTTCTGAAGCAGAAACTGCTGTTGTGACGTTCTGGTGATTGACCTTACCAAGCTGTGAAGTCACAGCAGAACTCTGATCTTACCTAATACTGATAACTGGTTTGTGGAAACAGGTCCGGGTGGTTCCTGCTGTCACCTGACTAAAGAAGGTCTCCGTTTGAGTCTAATGTGACCTTACTGACCTTGATTGGAACAGTGAATGACTGAGAGAGCGTGTTCTAACTCAGATTCATGTTGACAGAGATGCAACAGCAGGACTAAATGTAGGACCAGAAACCCAGTTCTACTAGCGTTCTGACAGTGGACTGTTGAGTCAGGCATAAACCCTTAATGATGTCTCATGTCCTGTTGACTTGAGATGTAGCTTATTTCTACTTGCCAGCCTCCAGTCTCGTGTCTTCTCAGGGCAGGAGGATAGAGACCGTATGGATTCAGATTTACAAGTCGCACAAAATAACAAGCAGGTCCAAATGCTCAGGAATGGTCTGAAGGTTGATGGAAAGGAGGGGAAATGTGAATGAACAGCAATAAAACAGGATGAAATGAGGAAGAATGAGGATGGCAGTTACTGGGGGGAGGGGGGGGGGGATTCAAGGGTGAGAAAGGGCCAGGAAAACAAAATGAAGGAGAAGGGGCAGGGGCAGGAGAACAAGAAGGAGAAGGGAGGAGGACTGAAATGATGAAGGAATGGATGAAGGGTGGGAGTGAGGGGTTGGTGCAGGAGGTGGTTTTGGGTGACAGGCCTCTTTCAGTAGACCTCTATTCTTCCCCCTGCGGCCGTCTCTTCTCATGCAAAGCAGGTCTGTTCAGCCTCACAGCCATCCGTCACACAGAGAAAGACCATGGCAGGCCTTTCACTAGCTCACACTAGCATAATCACCCACCCCATTCTACCATCCAGCGCCCTACAGGGGGTGGAGTCCACAACTAGAGTCTGGACAGCTGGGGGATGGGTGTACAGGCCTTCGCCACCAAAAATCCCCAAAGGACTTCCTAGTTAGAACGAGCTATGGACAGAGATGCTCAGGAGGCTGAGTGGCTAAAGAGTAGTCCCCCCCCCCCCCCCCCCCCCCACACACACACGCACACACCCACACTCCCACACATGCGCACACATACACATACAGACAACCCAAAACTGAATATGAATGGGAAAGGAGTGTCTGGGGAATTTCATGAAACTTTTAAAAAAGCTCATCAGCAAACAACCCGTCTAATACCTTCAGGTCTCCTGATGGGATGAAAAGTTCTGAAACAACAAGCCCACAAGAGCTTGGTGGTGCAAAACAGAGCAAAGAAGTTGCAAAACTAATAATCACCTGGGTAAAGGAAAAATATGAAGTCACCTGTTCCTCATTAAATATTAATTTATTACTTTTTAATATTAATTAATTAACTGATTGATTAATTTGTTAGTGAATTAATCAAATGGATGTCCTGATTGGAATTATCAGTCATGGCTCCCTAAAATATTATTTTAAGCTGTAACATCAAAAAAAACTTCAGATGAACACTAAACAGACACTCTGGTGGTCATAATCACATTCATTCTCTATTTTATTGACTTGAGAGCAATAAAGGCCAAACAGTGTGTGTGTGTGTGTGTGTGTGTGTGTGTGTGTGTGTGCGTGCGTGCGTGCCTGTGTGTGTGTGTGTGTGTGAGTTCCACAATGACATCACCAGCTCATTGAAATGTGACTGTGGTGGGACTCTGAGCCTCCCTGCTGGCCACAGTCAGAACCATTTAGGAGAACCAGATTCCAGAACCTGACGAATCTTCTGATGTTTGCTGAAAGACCACAGATCTTGCTCATGGACTAAAACATAAGGAACCACCTCTGGATTATCAAGGCCCTTCTAGTCCAACCTGAGTATGAGGTGGAATATTTTCAGTCTTCACAAACAACAGGGTCATTTGGATTTCACATTTAGCCATATGGGAAAGTGGGGCACAGAGGAACTAAACAATAAGCCTAAAGTTAGAAGAACACCAATTGATAGAATTTTCAGCAGCAGACCAGCAAAGTACCCGTCTACAGGTATATTCCTTGCAAGCCTGGAAATCTGCATCTCTCACAGAGCTGATGAATCAAGATCTCCTATCTGTATTGATTAAATTTTTACTAATGCAGAGTCAATGTGTTCAAAAGCTATAATAGTACCGCTGGGCTGCAATGACCACAGTCTAATAGGGCGCCTAAGTCTACTTCCGCATCATGGGTCCCCGGAAGAACGAAAAGATTAATGCAAGTCATCGGGGCTAAAAACTTTATTTTCTAATCCGCTTTGTCTGGTGGTGGTTCTTTCCTCCTGTGGGAAGTCTGCTGATTTTACAGCCGTTTTCCCTCAGCTTTCTCCGTGTCCGGTTCGATGACGTCACTTTCATGAAGCGCATTTGTAGTCCTTTTCACACAAAACCTAAAATATCGTTCCCCCCGTTCGAAAATAAGCGCGTTCTTGGTATCAAAATGTGTCTTTAAAATTCATGGACATCATCTATGAAATCCATGGAACAAACACCTATTATTGATCGACAAGCACCAAAAAGGAAATTAACTGCGAGGAACTCTAAAGCCTTATTCATGCATCTCCGTCTGCGTCAGTGCAGAAACACACAACGCCATTAACCGTCCTTGCGTAGGGCCCCCGGCAGGTACGCAAGTACGTACGGAGTCAAGCCCACTTTTCTAAACATCCGTCGAACGAGACGGATTACACACGCTTGTGACTGGTCGGTTCAGAAACCTGAGATCACTTCTGTCATGACGCCATTTGCCTAGTGGCCTTGTTCGAGTTGAGCAACGCCTGGCCTGGAAAACAGACGAGAGCAGACGGAAGCAGCAGGGGGAGTGGCTGAAAGCCGGCGTTTAAGTCGGACACATTTCCCTACATGTAGCTTGCGGGTGACGACGGATGAAGATATCCCGTTAGCTTTCACACTTGTTAATTTTTTTTTAATTCTGGTGCCTGTTAGCAGCTGAAACACATCCTCACATGCTTGTGGATATCATATATTGTATAAATAGACATGACTGTAATGATAAGTAAAGGTCAGCAGCTGTAGTTTTAGAGTGCTCATAGGAAACGTGACAAAAGAACACAAAACACATTCCTCTTTATGGCCTATAGATTTGTCATCATCAACGTTACATGATTTACAGAATACATGTGACCAACTAACATTTCATGTTCTACCGCTGGATGTTTGGATCGAAATGTGAACCAATCAGATCTTAGATCAGGTGAGAGCCAGGCGTTTCCTGTCATCCCCTAGGTTTTGCAGCCGGTGGAGAGCAACTGCAGCGCCTTGCTCCAAAATCTGCGGCCGCCTTGATCTCACGAGGTTATCGTTGCCTACGTCAGAGCAAGTCAGCGTCAAGTCGGACACAAATCTAACCGGCATGCACTGCTCGCCAATCACCAGTGATCTAATCTGGGCAGAACCAGCTCATCTCAAACAAGGCCGTTGTTTGCCTAGACCTGTTTATCGGATGGACATCCCACCGACGCCGCCATTTCCTTTTATGCTCTCGCTGGTATTTCAGCAGGATACGCATTTCGTCATCTAGATCACACAGTTCCAACTCGATCAAACTTCTCTGTCGCTTGTTGCTT